ACTCAGGCCTGAGCCCCACGAATTCCTTGGTGAGGCTGGGCTGTTGAGGGTCCGGGGACGTGGGGGTCAAGATGGTGAACCCTTGAGGATGCCAAGTATACGTGGAGATCAAACCCTTCCCGCACTTGGGATCAGAAGAATGTTGACAACAAAGAGGCCAGAATGCCTGAAAATCCTGGATCAGTATCTGAAGCAGGATGGCCTAATTTTCTAAATGCATTGTACCTACAGTTGGTCAGAAACTATCTGGCTTGCAAGTGACAATGAAGAATGAGGTCAGCTTTATTGGGCGAAGCTCGTGCCTCTAGTGGGGATTTAAGGGGGGGTTTCTGGGGAACCCTTAGCCCTAAACCCTAAACCCTGAACCCAGTGGATTTGTAGCTCTGGAGCCTCTAACGCCAAACCCTACACCCTGTGTGCAGGATTGACTGGGGCTAGAGGGTTTCAGGGAGGTCAAGGAGTAGGAACTTATTTTTTAAAAATTACCTACTACAGGGCTCTGAATGTTGTCAAGCGGTGTGCCTGTATAATCTTCATGTTTGAGTTACAATAGAAGCAAATCAAACAGCAGATTGCCATCAGGTAGGTCCTGCGAGGTAGCTTTTGCACCTTCAGCTGCATCCCCCCAATCCCGTGAAACAACTACACCTTGAACATTGAATCTTGGGTCCACAATAACCCCCCCAAAATTCTGAATCTAATGCCCTGAAGCTTAAATTCTCAACCCAGACACCCCAAAAATGAGTTTTCAACGTCTAAGCCCTCAATCCATGGTTTTAAGCCCGTAAGGCCTGAGTCCAACATGAGCCCGAAAACCTAACCCTTTAGGTTTTACGGCTCAGGGCCCCTAACCCTACATTCGAAATTGCTCTGCGCTGAAGCCCTAAGCCTCGTAGCTTCTGTCATTCTGAGTTCCATACCTCCCCCCTTGTACCACCACCCGCCAGGCTCCCCTCAGTAGGGTTAAGGGTTTGGGGTTGAATAGGGATTATATAGGGATTATAGGGATAATATTGAGATTATAGGAGTTATATAGGAATTATGTAAGGGATTATGTAAGGCAATTTAGGCTACTCTAAATTTTGGGCAAGTGCTTGGAAGGTCGCGGGCACTGAGTAAACACAAGTATGGTCATTGATAGACCAGCTTTCCCAGTTGTTCACCTCGCCATCCCGGAACTGTAGCCCTAGGCCCTAAACCCTACACCCTAAACCCGAACCCAAATCCTATATGAGCTACAGTCTAAACTCCTCAGAGGGGTACTACACAACTGTGTCATATATAGGGGAGTATTATAGGGCTTAGTACGGGGGATACTCGGAGTTTAGCCCTTCCGCCCAAAACTGACACACACCCTACACCCCCCACCGCAAACCCTAAACCCCAAACCTGAGAACATATGACATCAGCGAGACCCCCGAGGTGGTCTTTTGCCCGGATGCCGAGGGCACCGCGGAGGCCATCTCCTTGAACATATGGGGTTTGGGTTTGAGGTTGGGGTTTGGGGTTGGGCTTTAGCGTTTGGGCTTTGGCCTTTGAGGTTCATATATGCTTCAGGGTTCGGGGTTTGAGCTTCAGGGTTGAGGCATTAGGGTTGGTGTGGCTTGAACTAAGAGGGGGGAAACTCGTTTTTGATTCCATTGTTTTATCCTAGGTTCTGTCTATTTCAGTAGGGCCAGGTATCGTTACAGGCATGTACAGGGTTTGGTAGGGTGCTTGCAGGATGTATTAGAACTTGAGGAGATTGCAGGCCTGTGTTGTGGGGCTCATGCAAGGGCAATTTTACAACCAAACTAACATTGGAAAGCCGTTTTGGACGCGGTTTTTCCCAAAACCTTTACAAACAGTATGAGCGCGTGAAAGCGCGAGATTCATTGGAATCTTGCTTCAGGCACCTTGTAAGGTCTCGACATCTCAGGGTCGAGGCAGATCGGAGAGAGTGTAGGGACTTATGCGAGCAGTGTTGACCATGGCCCAGGAGAGTCAGAATTAGCTTCCCTAAGCCCTAGACCGCGTCCCAGGAGAGGTGGTGGTGGTAGTAGTAGTAGTAGTAGTAGTAGCAGTAGTAGGAGTAGTAGTAGGAGGAGGAGGAGTAGTAGTAGTAGTCGTCGTAGTAGTAGTAGTAGCAGTAGTAAAGTAGGAAATGAGAGGACCCATATAATCACGATCATCCCTGATGCCCTAAACTATCCTAAGCCCTACAGGCTAAACCCTAAACCGGGGGGTTCCACCTTACCTAGACCCAAACACCCTTGGCAGCCCTAAACCCTAAACCCTCAACCTGAAACCCTAAACCCTAAACCCTGAACCCTTAACCCTAAACCCCCAACCCCAAACCCTAAACCCTGAACCCTAACCCTAAACCCTGAACCCTAAACCCTCAACCCTGAACCCTAAACCATCCTAAACCCTAAACCCTAATCCTCGAACCCTAAACCCTAAACCCTGAACCCTAAACTGTGAGGATGATGGTTACTTGGTGGGCATCCTCCTTAACGGCCGGGATCAGAGCCCGGGCCTTGCTTTGGGGCTTTGGAGGTGGGTTTGGGATTTTTGAGATTTAGGGTTTAGGGTTTAGGGTTGTGGGGGGGGGGGGTGCTGGGGTTTGGGTGTGGGGTGTTGGATTTAGGGTGTAGTGTTTGGGTGCATGTTCCTGTTTTTCAAAACGGGCGTAATCTTTGACGTCTGCAAACGTTAAGGGAGGTTTAGGGTCCCTCTTCCGGATGATCTCTTTCCATCCCTCTGCTTCAGATCGCAGAGAATGCCTTTTGAAGCCTAGCACCTAGCACCCCTGGTAAGCCCTCAACCCCTAAACTCCCAAGCCACAAACTCAGACCACTAGACTTCGCACCTTTTCCCTAAGCGCCTGTTCCCCACACCTCGAAACCCTAAGCCCTAAGCCTGAAGCCAATCGCGATGACTCAGGCAGTGAGGTTGTCGTCTTCGACGCTCACGGCGTACAGCGCGGGCCTATATGTTCGCCCCTTAGACACTTCAGGGTTTAGGGTTGAGGGTTTAGGGTTTCGAGCATCCTGGAATTAATCAAGTCGCAAGGATCTTACAGGGAGCCCTTAGCAAGGATGACGACCTTATGCTCATAATGTTGACTATTCCCAGTATGCTCATGCCACAAGGGCTTAAGGTTCCGGGTCAGGGAGGGGAGTATGCATGATGTGCAGTGTAATACGGAGGTACGGAATCTTCTCGCATAAGTTCTCAGTATTGTGTCATCTGACTGGCGCTTTAGTGGTGGTGGGGGAGTGGTTCCATATTGGGTTTCCCAAATTTAGGGGGTACCTTTGTGGAGATCCCTATAATTGTAAGAAAGATTATCTACTTTTATGGTTCATATTGGGGTCCCCTACTTCTGGAAACTCCATATACTGATCCTCCTATACCCTATACCCTAATCCCTAAACCTTAAACCCTAAACCCTAAACCTTAAACCCCTAAACCCTAAACCCTAAACCCTAAATTAGTTCAAAGAATCACGCCCCTAAGTCCTTAAGCACCAGCAGGCCTCCCTGCCTTACCCCACTTCGGCTTGTAGGGTTTAGGGTTTAGGGTTTGGGGTTTAGGGCATTATCATAGGTTTCTATGTATGCTGTAAAATTTTCTCAGGATCTGGACACTAGTTCGGCCGAACTCACGCATATTCGTGCTACCCTAAACCCCCTAAACCCTAAACCCTAAATCGTGTGGTAGCTCCATTTTAGAAGATCTTGTGCTCCCAGACGTGCTCCGCTGGGCTCTATCCCTAGGGCTGGAAATAGCCCAAGGAAGATAGGATCTGTTGACTATTAATTTTGGGAAACCCTAATCCTTATAAGCTCCTATATATAAAATTCAAGTTTCCATTTCATGTACCGTTTTTTCCATTTGATTCTCCAGTATGGGGGTAATATCCCTATATAATACCTGGAGAAACTAGGTATTTCTCATAGACTTGGGTGCCCGAGAGGGGCATGATCCAAACCCAAGCAAGGTCCTCAACCTTCAACCCTGAGCCTAAACCCTAGAACCTGAGCCCATACATCCCACAAATCCCACACCCCAAGCCCCAAATCCAAAACCCTAAACCCTAAACCCTGCAAATTTCAAACCCCAAACTCTTATCTCAAATCCCAAACTTAAAAACCCTAGACCAACCCTGAGGCTCAACCCAAAACTGAGGGTTTAGGGTTTTAGGAGTTCAGGGTTTAGGGTTTAGGGTTGAGACGCAGGAACACGCAGGGTCCCTGTTGTTTATTGTATCTCTTAAGTTCACTACTTACTAGCGGATGGGGGGGTGGGTCAGTTTTACCCCAAGCCTTTGAACAGTGTGGCTTTTAGCTGAGAGTAGATTGCATGAGTATAAGTCGGGTCTCTCCAGCAGTTTTTACACAATGGTTAGAGAAAAGCCCAAGTTGTAAACAGATAAGATGCTCTAGTCTCCTATCCCCATTGTTCCAGCTAGCACAGGTGTTTGGTAATATGCTCTACTTACTGGTGGTTAGTAGTGAATAAAGGAATATTTTCAATCCCTGTATACTCCTTACATCACTTCATATTCCCTTATTCCCTACTAAGTCCTAAACCCTAGCCCCTAAACCCTAACCCTAGTAAGCCTACTTTAGGCGTGCTTAGCGGTTCACAAGGCGTGGCAAAGCACCTCATCCCGCCACCTCTTCAGGATTTTTTCATAGCATAACACATGGCTTAGGGTTTAGGGTTTAGGGTTTAAGGTTTAAGGTTTAGGGCTTTAGGGTTTAGGGTTTAGGGTTTAAGGTTTAGGGCCCCTTTTTGGCGAGTCCCTGTAAACTAGTGAGGGTCATGAGTCATAACATACTGGGGTTCATATTGGAGAGTCTTGTCTAGGGAAACTTTTAGACAGATTGCCAGCCGTAAGCTTACCCACAAGTCTCACATGAGCCAGGATAGAAACTCGTTATAGCGGGTGATACAGGGGCCTATATAGGATCGGGCTTACTAAAGGGGGATACTACGAGTTCAGACTCTAGCTCACATCACGCGAAGGGCTGCTCCACCACATGGCTGGTATTCTCTATGTCTCGAGTGTTGCAGGCGAAGAGCTGGCTGCCATAAGTCCGAAGGAGATCGAAGACGTAAGGGCCCTCAAATTGTACTTGCGCGACCTGCATGGCTTTCCTTTCTGCCTGCAACAGCTTCTGCACAACAACAGCATTCTGGATGATTCCTGCAAGCCGGAGGGTCCGGCAGAGATACAGCTCGTGTTATTGCAGGTGAAGTCTAAGTCAGAGCGCCACAGTATGGCCTGCGCCGAGCTGCTGGAGATTTGTACAGCACAAACAGACCTGCCAAAAACAGCGCGCCTGCTGTTGAAGGCTGGTGTTGACGTGAATCTGTGTGATAAGCGTGGCGAGACACCTCTCATGCATGCAGCTGCAAAAGGCCGTGAGGAGACTGTCAAGGTGCTGTTGGAAGCTGGCGCTGGTAAGGATTTGCGTGATCTGCATGGCGACACAGCTCTGACTCACGCAGCTGGCAACGGCCACACGCAGATTGTGCGATTGCTGTTGGAGGCTGGGGCTGACAAGGACAAGCCAGGCTTCTTTTGGCGGACGCCGCTTGTGTATGCAGCATGGAATGGCGATGTGGAGATGGTGCGGCTGCTGTTGGAAGCTGGTGCCGACATGAACCCGCGCATTCAGTACAACGACACAGCTCTGGCTTGCGCGGCTGGCAATGGGCACACGCAGATCGTGCGATTGCTGTTGGAGGCCGGTGCTGACAAGGACATAGCAGGTACAAAAACAGCTCTCATGAGCGCAGCTGAAAGTGGCCATCTGGAGATTGTGCGGCTGCTTTTGCAAGCTGGTGCCGACAAGGACCGCCCGAACAGGCTCCAGTGCACAGCTTTAATGCACGCAGCTGCTAAAGGGCATGTAGACATTGCACAACTGTTGTTGGGGGCTGCTGCCGACGTGGGCCTCAAGGATTTGCGGGGCAAAACAGCTTTAATGCACGCAGGTGAGCATGTGGAAATTGTGCGGCTCCTGCGGCAAGCCGGTGCAGCGAACGACGTCCAGGTCCAGGTTTCGCATGACGATGAAGTCACTTGTGCAACCAAGCGTAGCTACGAGCAGACGTCGGGCAGCCAACAGCCGACAATACAGCCTGCATGTAAGCATCAAAGGACTCTTGATTGATGCCGACTTGAACATGGCTTACATCATGGCCCTGACTCGGGCTATATGGGTTTGTGTAGTGTTATATAGGGTATACATGGTCATTTGGTGTTATATAGGGTCAGGTAGGGTTTTACTGAGTGATAGGCTCAACAGGTCGCAGGTTTGCGTCTGGCCATGTGCAGGCTAATGAAGGGTGCTGTTACCAGCGCTGCATCGAATGGATGATAAAATGGTGGACATGGGAGCGCGCAGTACAAGGCAGTACAAGCGGTTTTTAGGAATGCGTGGCATGTGTGAAGCATGACGAAGACATTGGGAAAGTAACAGTATTGGCTCCGGCAGTTGTCAGACGACACGCGGGCAGAAACTGGTTCATGCTGCTCCTACTTGATTTCTGCATACGCTTGCCTGGAAAAGAAATCATATTCAAGGGTCCTGAATAGTTCTGATTCTTGGTATAATGATGATATAGGGCCCAGTAAGTAACAGGTACACTGCAAATCGACCTCAACATGATCCCTAAACCCTAAACCCTAAACAGCTATTTCTGCTTCGACATTTTACCCCCCTTTAAGGCCCATCCCCCAAGCAACGGCACCCTAAACCCTAAGCCCTAACACTCGGCCCTAAGCCCAAAGTACACTGCACTCTAAGTGCTTCAAAGTGTCAGCTCAAAGAGCCATTTGGCGCTTTGGGTGGAGCTTTGAAACTTAAAGCCTAAACTCTAAATCCTGAACCCTAAACCTCACATCCTAAGCCCTAAGCTCTAATCCTTACAAAAGGGACTCGCAACAAGGTACCCGTAATTTTGTTGAACTTTTTTCATTTCACAATCCTGCGATGGTTTCGTTTTTGCGGCTGACTAGTGGCTGACTAGTGACCTCACTAGGAGCAACGAGAAGCCCTTCATAGTCCCCAATCGCCACCAGCATTTTTTTCTGCGTGCTGTGCATTGATGGTCAGGGTGACTTCGCAAGTAACCTTATAACCTGTAGCGACTTCAGGTATTACCACTATGAACCTGCTTGCTGAGTCCCCTGAACGCTCCAAGTGGTTATGATACAAATTCATCTGCAACGCTGAACCCCAAATTCCCACCTCCTGGCCCACTCCGTTGTGTGTGGATAAGCTTTAGCCCTAAACCGCGTGTTGGCTCTCTTAGTCTTATAGGTTTAGAGTTTATATGCGCTTTAGGGCACAGAGCATGTGTTGTGCTTCGGTGTTTGGAGGCCCTGATTGGGCACATGCGCACGCAGATGCTGATCTCGATAGGGATGGAAAGGGGCCCTAAATCCTAAACCCTAAACCTTAAGCTGAACTCGGTGGAGCATCCCTAGGATTCCTATTAATTCTGTGAAATCCCCTGATGCCCAGCAACAGCCTTCTAAGACTTGTGAGGCAAGCTACAGGGCCTTCTGTCAGATACGCCTACAGCCCTCAACCCTAAAGCCCCTTGAGACCTTCCATCCTAAACTCTAAACCTGACATGTGGAATGTAAGCCTCTGGGCCCTTGAAGACTAAACCCTACACCCTGCACCGTAAAAACCCCCACCCTTATAGTCCTCCTTAAGTGAATAGAATATGGCTTTGGGCATATTATAGTAAGATCCCCGTATACCCCATATTCTATCTAACCCCAAAGCCTAAACTTAAAACCTTCAGGTCGCATTCCCTTGCCAACGTTCATTCCACATGCCCTGCACGGCTGCTTCGCCCCCAACCTGGTCAGCCGAGATCTCTTGACAGGGTTCAGGTTTGGGAAGGTTTAGGATTTAGGGATCCCTTGAAAGGGGATATACTTGGAGGGTCATGGGGACTTAGTAAGTAGGTCAATAATGGGGATAACTGGGACCATCATATGGCTTATAGGGGTTACTAACCTACTTACTAAGTCCCATTGACCTTCCAAGTAGGCGTTATCTAGGGATATGTGGAGTTTTGGGTTTTGGGTTTCAGATGCAGGGTTTATGGTTTCAGGTCCCGAGCTTTGGGTTTCAGGTTCAGGTTTGAAGGATCAAAGTCTAGGACCCTAAACCCTAAACCCTGAACCCTAAACCCTGCAGGTTCAGGGCTCCGGTACAAGGCTCCTCTTCAGAGTGTAATTCTCAGGGTCAACCCTAAACACTAAGCCCTAAACCCTAAACCCTAAACCCTAAGCCCTAAACCCTGAACCCTGATTCGGGCTTGGTGTACAAGTAATGCTGTAGCTATTTTGGGTGGTTGTCAAAATTATGGTCCCATTTTGGGTCCCTATTATAGTACGGCACCTAATATTTAGGGTACCCAAAAAGGGACCATCATTTTGACAACCACCCATTTTTTAAAGGGAAACAGTGTTGGAGTGAAGCAATTAGCCAGCGGTTCCTCTACGGATACCTGACTTTAGGGTTTAAGGTTTTACGGAAACTAGGGATTAGGGTTGTATTTGGCGTGGTATAGCGAGCAGTGCGAGAAACCTCCATGTAATGTTCAGATTCCCTTCCCCCCCCGCATCTAGGCGGATGTGATCATGTTGATTGTTGGCTCTCTGGTTTTGAGATGCTTTTGCTCATGACTATCAGGGGTGTTGAGTAAGCCCTTTTCACCTTTTTTGGGTCCTAAGTTGTTTATAGAAGTAAGCTATATTCAAACAGGGAGACCTTTTTGGTCTTAAGTTACTCGGGATCCTAGCTATCTGATTTTGGGTCTCTCAACAGCTCGGTGTTGGCAGCCACGGTTGTGTCAACGGTTTCAGAAGCTCAGCTCAAACCGGCAAACGCAGAACTCCCTCAGAACCTATAGTTTAATTTAGTATACATACATAACTGACAGCACCTATATGCCATGTTATACCACAAGTTATGCTCATTTTGAATCTACATACTAAGCCCAGCAAAGTACTTACATACTTTGTGGACCCTAAGCCCTCAACCCTAAACCCTACGGCTTTTTTCTGCTCTACGGTTTTCCATCCCTTGCCTCTTGAAGCATACCGGTGAGGCACGGATTCCTGAAGTAGCCCGTGTAGAATCCCGCAAAGTGGCTGTATCCTATCCCTGCATTGGTTATATGAGCCATAGTCTAAACTCGTAGTATCTCCCTTAGTAGCCCCTATAGTGGTCCCTTATATAATCCCCTATGTATCCCCCCTTTAAGGATTTAGACTGTAGCTCATACACCAACCACATGGCAGCAAGTCGTAATCTGCTACTGCCAGGTGCCTAGCTTTGATGAGATCCAGGCAGCTTGGGACCAGCAGCCAACTTCTGTGTGACTGGGTTGCTTTTAAGGAGCCTCAAATTAAGTTATCATAGGCTTCCAAAAACAGAGTTGCATGGAGGTTAACGAGACTACATAACTTTATACACAGTTAAACAGATAGATGTACAAGAAGCCCTAAACCCTAAACCCTAGGGATTCCTTATAACGGCAAAGGAATCCAAGCCAAAAAGCAACAGCCGAGGTGACGGCTCTGCTTGCATGTGAGCCTTGCGCCCATGCTGAAATGCTGTTCATCACGGCGAACGCTGCAGGGTCTGAGGTTTAGGGTTTTAGGGTTTAGGCTTGCAGTATTGTCTGCGCTTATGCAAGCTGCTCAAGGATTATGAAGGTAACGCCCTTGATACTACTTACTGCTGAGATTGCGACATTCCGTTCAGCCATGTGGGTTTGAGCTTAAGCCCTAAGCAAGATGCCCACGTTAGGGACTACTATCGGCGTGATGAGGGAGCAGGTCATTCCACGCAGAGTCTTTGAAGGCTCCCTGATAGTCGGCATATCCCTGGGTCCTCCGTTGAGAAGCCTTTTGCTAGATGGTATGGACTGGCCCCCGAGACATGAACTCGAATTCCAGAGCTCGAGGCCCTGAACCTTTGTGAAATGGAATGAGGATACCTGCACGTTCCTCAGTTGCTTCAAACCCCTCCTCCGAAATGGTGTGTTTGGATTTTCAAGCAAACATTCCGGCGAAGGCTTCGATTTTTCTGGCGCTTAGGCTTCTTGGCTCAAGGCTCACCCTTCCCCAAAAACTCACATGGAATTCCAAAGTGGACCAAGGGAAGCTCCATGAGTATATGATGGGTTCAGGGGTTTAGGGTTCAGGGGTTTGGGGTTTAGGGTTCTAAAGCCTAAGTACGGGTTGCAGCGGCCAGATGACGTGCATGTTTTTCCCGCCGTTACGCAAAGTTGCGCTCGCGCGTCAGTAAAGCCTAAACCCCAAATCAGGAACCCACAACCCCAAAACCTAAACCCCTAACCCTAATCCCTGAGACCCGAACCCTAGTCCATAAACACTAACCCTTGAACCCTACACCCGAATCCTGAAATCTTCAACCCCTCAGCGTAAACTGCGTACTCCAAACCCAACCTATACTGCAGAAGCTGTTTGCGCTTTGCTTCTCAAACTGTGAGCTTTAGCCATTGCGCCCAGAGCCGGTAAAAAGTCGCTCGTTGGGGGGGAGATTTCCAAGATTTGAATCCTTTCAGAAGATCCAAGTGGTCGTATATGGGTTATACAGGGATACTACAGGAATATATCTGGGGTGTAGGGTTTCCAAGAAGTAGGGTTCTTCTCAAGGGTTCACAAGCTCATCTAAGAGTAGGGGGCCAATCTTCCGGGGCTTCCAAGAATGGGATCCCTTTAAAGGGTATGTAGGGGATATATATATATATATAGAGATGTAGGGACCGCAGCGATATCAACGGTTCAGGGTTTTGGGTTTGCTGCAAGTTAGGGGTCCATGTCAGCGGTCATCGAGAGGGTCCAGGGTTTAGGGATTCTTATGCAGCCAGGATGTTGCTCGAACTGTGGTCCCTGGTACGTAAACCCTCGTGAGGGTCTCACATTCAGGTTGCAAGCACCACACATAATGCGGTTGCCGCATGTTTGTAGTCAAGAGTGTCGTTAAATGGCTTACAATGCCTACTTATACTTTCCGCAAGGCATTTTAAACCACCCTAAACCTGAACGGTTTTGAGGAGGATCTGCCTGATTTCTTAGGGTTTAGGGTCACCCATAAGACCTCCATGATCCCATTAC